GTGGCGGCTGCTCTTGAGCGACGAAGACCCGAGCGACGTCGGCGATCTGCAACGAACGCTGGACGCCGAGTGGCGCGGCTTTTTGCGCCTCAACCTCGTGGGCGTCAGCAACGTCTTTAACAAGATGTGGGCCTCGCTCGGGCCGCGTCTGGACGCCGTCAAAGGCGATGCCAAGGTGCAGTCGTTTCTGAAGAAACTCAACTCGACATCGCTCGCCGCCGAGACAACGCAAATCGCTGCTGTGCTCGTGCTGCTACACAAAATTGATCTCGCGACCGAAACGACCTCTGACGAGCGCGTGTTCATGGACGTCTTTGCCACGATGTTCACCGAGATGGCACCCGCGCTCGAGGACGCCGTCACGATGCCCTAATCTCGACGTCTGCATTCTTTAAAGCCATAATATTGGGCGATTATCGCCCAAACCGTCGCGGGAGGGTTAACTACTTGCAAATTTACAATCTTGCGGGTGACGCGCACGGCGACTTCACAAAGGTGGCATCGCCTTCAATTTGAGGACTTGTCCTGATTAGGCTGAATGACCTGGTTTTAGGGTGTTGCCACCACGGCGTTTGAAACTGTCGATATAATGACGTGGCAGTGCGACAGACAAGCAAACTGAAAAGTCATAGGTATTCATAATGTTTACGAAATATTTAGCGCTGCATCTGACGCGCGACCAAGTTGGCGTAGAGACCGTTCGGGAGGTTGACCAGCTCGTCGTGCGTGCCGAGTTCGCACACCTTGCCGTCGTTGACGACCGCAATCATGTCGGCGTTGCGGATCGTCGACAAGCGGTGGGCGACGATCACGGTCGTGCGCCGCTTCTGCTTGAGGAGACGATCGAGCGACTCTTGCACGATGCGCTCGCTCTCCGTGTCGAGCGCCGACGTGGCTTCGTCCAGCAAGAGCACGGCGGGATCCCGGATGATGGCGCGCGCGATCGCAATGCGCTGCTTCTGGCCGCCCGACACTTGCACGCCGCGGTCGCCCACCGTCGTCTCGTACCCGTTGGGAAAGCGCATGATAAAGTCGTGCGCGTTGGCCTTCTTGGCGGCGTCCTCGATCTCGGCCATGGTCGCACCCGGCTTGCCCGTGGCGATGTTGTCGGCGATCGTGCCCGCAAACAGCACGGGCTCCTGCGACACGATCGAGATGTGGCTGCGCAGCGACTGCACGTTGAGCGACCGGAGGTCATGGCCGTCGAGGAAGACCGCGCCGGACGCCGGGTCGTAAAAGCGCTCAAGAAGACCGATCGCCGTGCTCTTGCCCGAGCCCGAGCCGCCGACGAGCGCGAGCGTCTGGCCGGCGTGGATCGTCAAGCTGTAGTCCTTGTAGATCTGCGAGTCGGGGCGCGAGGGATACGCAAAGGCGACGT